TGGTTTTTGCGAGCCGGAGTCTGAACCGCAGACGGCGAGGCGGGCTGCACAATGAAAGCAAAAGGCATCCATCCCAAACAAAATAAAACGGCTTGAAAAGTGAAGTTGCTTTTTTAATCAGGCGCTTAGAGGCTGAAAGACATTCCCCGTTGGAAAAAAAAAAGGGCGAGCGCAGAGCAAGTTGGCGGCGTTCCAGGCAGTGGACAATATTGACTCTAGAATAAAACGGGGTTTGCTTAGCGCTCGCCCCAGGGCACCAACCTCCCTCCTTTGGAATAAAACGCTCGGGCGGGTGATTCCCTGGCACAGGCTGACCCTCGGGTGGTTCACGGTGTGCCACAGCACCCCTGCCCCAGGGACAGGGACAGGGATGGCCGGTGAGGGCTCAGCTGCGGCCGTGCGTATGGGTGCTCAGAGGCAGCACCCGGCTCGCTGCTGTCTGGGGCTTCAGCCCGTGATACCTGGTGGGTACCACACCAGCTCAGACCGTTTTTGATGGGATGCAGCTCAACTCCGCGTGCTCCTGGAGGGCAAAAGAAAGCTGCCAACAAATCAGGTCAAAAACCGGACTTGTTATCTAGGGCTCTTTTGCCACCCTAAAATCAAGTAAAAAAGCTAAAGCTCTGACCCGGAAACAAGCATTTAAAAAACTCCACTAACGCCAGCAGCAGAAAGGCCACTGTTTGCGTTCCAGGGAGGAGCAAAAAATTAATTTTGAAACCACAAAAGCTGCTGTCAGTTGGTGGTGCCTTCTGGATGCCTTTGGTTAAGTCCAGCGTGGTATGGCTCCTCTGGCCCTGCGGGAGGCTGAGAGGGGAACCCTGGAAGGAGCCCCTGTGCCAGCGAGGGACACAGTAAGCCAGAAAACTGGGTTTTGGGAAGGAGTCTAGGATATAGTCAGAGCAAAGTACTTCAAAATGTTCACATTGGACTTACCCGTGAGCAAAGAAAACCTAACCAACCGTGTCTCAACTTTTATTTAAAAGGCGAAGACAGAGAATACTAATTCTGTGCAGTCCTTTAAAGAAGCAGTTATCATCAGGCCTGCTTTTTTCCCCCTCCATATATTTCTACCTCAGGCTGCCCGCACCCCTTTTAAGTGCTGGCAGCAACTTTGCTTACGCGGCCATCGAGTCTTCCCTGATGCTTCTGTTGCCAGGGCTTGTCAAAACCACCAGAACTACCCTCTCTCCAATACAAGTTCAACCTCTGCAAGCCACGGGCCTGAAAACCCCAGCCCCGAGACCCAGCTGTGAAAGACTGTCAGTAACACAGATGTCTGCCAGCAAATTACGGCTCGAGACAGCTCCGAGGCTTGTTCATGACACGCAGCTCTTCAGATGCCTTGCCAGCTCCAGGATGCGTTTTGCAGTGGTTGCTCAACCACAACGCGCGTGGGGCGAGGGTGCAGGAGGGGCAGCTCCCACCTAAGTGGGATTTATTTTAGATCCATTTAATACAGTGGATTTCTCATCCCAACTGCCAATGTGGAGAAAGGAGAAAGGGCGGGAGAGCCGGAGGGAGAAGGGAAAGGCTGGTCTGAAAGCAGTTACAGGCAGCCTGGACTAGCGATGCGGTACACATTGCTGGATCAGTGGTTGTCCTAATGCTGTGGGGAAACTTGGCAGCTCTGCTACCACTGTGGGCTGTTGAGACAAAGCCAGTGTGGAAACTTCACATGAAGAAAAAAAAAAAAAAAAAAAAAATGCCAAATGCATTATGACAGACCCAAAGACAATAACCTTTTGTAATCCAAACAAGCTGGGCGAGCCAAGCCATTGTTGAGAATCCGAAAAGCTCCAGAGCACAGGAGAAGGGCAAAAATGAAGAAAAAAAATAATCATTCAGCTTCTAATAGAAAACACAGAAAGTGTCCTGAATTTTAAAATAAAACAGTTCATTTTCCTGAGGAAAGAGAGAGTTTTACACCCTCTCACTAAAGGATTCAGTGATTAAGTGTAAGAATGGCTGCTTCTTCCTACCACCACCTGCACCTCTCTACATGTATGTGCAAATGTCAACATACAGTCGAGTCACCAACCAAAAAAAAAGTTCAGACAATTGATCTTCTGCATTGTAAGTAATAAAAGTTTGGCAGTGTTTCAGTGTATCAAGCTCTGGCTGGCCAAAGCTCCATCTGACATTTTCTCGAAAAGGAATATACATGCTAATTTATTCTCCATGATAGATATTGTCCTTAGAAACAAATGCAGAACAGACATGTCCTCAGTCGCTGTGTCCTGATGCATCAGTTAAATGTAGGAATTAGAAAGGGGAGAAAATAGAAGCAAAACCCTTGAAGCACTAGCCACCTCAAACCATCACCTCTGAGGGCCCATCAAGCTGGAAATCTAACATCTTGTCCACAATCTCAACTACTAAAATTGACCTGGATTTTTTGATAAATAGAAACAGATTGCTTCTCCTCTGCTTAGGAGATCACTGCACACATTTTGATGGAAAACAAGACTCCCTGGGGCAAACACCCTGCAAGAAGAAATGGATCCTTATTTAGAAGGGCTCTGATTTAGAGAAATGTATGGTGATAGAGCAATCCCCTCACCATTTTATTGTCCTGAGGCAAAGAGGTAACTGATGCACTAGCTGTGGGATATGGAGCAGCTAAAACAGTCTGATTCTTTTATTGAGGCCAAAACCATGGCCCCTGTTTTCCACTTCCAGCCAGAAGTCAAAAGGAACAGCAGGGAGAGGTAGCCTCATCACAGTCTCCACATGCTTCTGCTTGGCACAGGCCACCCCTTTCTGGGACAGCACTGAGGTGAATTCAGACTTGAATTTTCAAGTCACAGTTTAAGTATTAATTCCGGAAAAACTGCTTACAGATAGGCATATTTGTGCTAGACTGGTGGCAATTTTTGCATTGACCATATTAGAATCTGTAACTGGATCAACATGTGTCCTACACTTCAGGAAATTCAGAAAAATCAACAGCAAAATCAACTCTCTTCTCCCCCCTGCCATATGCTAGAGTTAACAGAGTTCACACACCAGTACTGAAAAACAATGCATTGAATCAAATCTGCCATCCATTTAGACTTACCCAAGCTCTTCTACCTTATGCATTATTCTATATTTAAAATTTGCATTCCTTCTTATTTATCTTCCTTCTAACGCCAAACAGTATTAGCTGTGCAATAACCATTTTGAGTAAGGTGAAGTGCTATGCACAGGTTCACAAACAAGGTACAAACTGATATACAGAATCATCTTTCTCTTTAATTTTTAACCATTCCAACCTGGTATGCATCCCAACATCCCGCTGGTAATTTTGACTGAAAAAAATCACAGTAAGCAGAACTTCCACTGAGCTTTTTGAAATGGCTCTCAAGTTCATTTGGAACCTCTAGCATGCAAAATAGTTATTTTTCCCTCTTCATGCTTTACTTGGTATTTATCAACTCCAAATTTGATCAGTGTGATGCCCGTTCATGTAAATCATTTACTTGTTTGCAGTTCCTCACAGCCCTTCTTGTTTATTAGGAAAAGAGCTGTGGTGTCACCTGCCAATGCTGCAACTTCAACCATTCTAATCCCACTTCCTTTCCAGACCACTAACCAACCAGGAAAATGCAAAACAACTGCCATGAACCTGGAGAAACCCTTTTTGCCTTCCAACCGTGATGAAAGAATTCTACTCTAACCCTCTCCTCTTGACCCATGATACTTTTGTAGCTCTCCCCCAAATTAGAAGGTTTGGGTTCTTTGGTTTGGGTACTTTTTTCCCCCACAACAGCATCTCACATCTTGAAAAAGAGCTTTTGGAAGTCTACATGAAACCATTCTTTACTGATGCCTTCAGTCACATCTGGGAGTTTAATCAGAAAACTCCCTTTGCAGAAGCTGGGAGAGTATCTCATGAACTTCCAAATGTTTTGCTGTTTAAGTCCTCAGTTGATCCAATGTTCTCATTCTGCTCCTATTCTTTTGTTCATGACTGCAGCCTTTTTAAAAAGTGAAGTCATCATTCTCAGGGTGAGACTGCATATTCTGCAGGCAGCTGTTCAAGACGATGGACAATGATGGCTATTCCCAGATTAACATGTTCTGCACAAACACTCTAGATAATATTAAACTTAGATCATTATTCTGCCATTAAAACTTCATTATATTTATGGGCTACAAAGTATGGAACAAATCAGAAGCATGTGGAGTTGCAGTTGCATGTGAGCATCCAAGTCTCGAAACCTACAAGAGTTCAGGCTTTTTAACCTCCTCCACACTTTCCCTTCCTGAAAGGACATTTGCTAAGGATGCTAAAACACGAACAGCATGGAACTGAAGACTATTTGCATATATAGGGCCTCCACTTTTATAGGTCACACACAGAGCACAAAATAGCAAGGATCAGGGCTTCTCTAAATGAGTGGAAGTCACTTGAGAAGGAGCCTCTTGGACTGACACAAAACAATGAAGACATTTAGCCAGAGACAAATAACTCATCGTTCTTCCTGTCTTCACTTCATTAAGTTAATGCTGCTCATTCAAGCCTTTTCATTTTAGGCTGGCTATGACTTTTATTCAGATAGACCCGTCTCTAAAACAATTCCTCAAGGGTAACCCAAATCAGGGGTCAGCTGCACTAGAGTATGGGAGGCAGCTCTTCCCTTCCGCAAGCGTTCCTCAGCATGCCAAAGGCATGATGGCCCACTGATCCAGATTCTATAAAAAGCTACTTCCAAGATAGGAAAATCGTTTAGCTTTCAAGAAGATCCCCTGGCACATCTTCTTCTTTATGTGTTTGCTTTGCTTTGAATGCTCACACGTTAAAATGAACCAAAGTCCTGGCTCTGGAAGGAGGTCAACTTATTTAAAACATTAACTTCTAAAAGAAAAATACATCCAAAAGAAAATACCTTTCCCTGTAGTACGCAGGCATACACCTCCATGTATGATGCAGTTTACGCTAATCAAAGACACATATAAAGCAGGCACTGGTTACAGAGAAGGCTGATCCCATGCTGAGAAAGACGCATTCTTACCAGCCAGTCATGTTGAAGTCACGGTAGAGCATCCTCTTTCCAACTTCCTTGCGCTGCACCCTCCGTGGAAACTCTAAATGTGTGAACTCATTTCCCAGCAAGTGGGGCTGCATGTAAGCCTGTGGGCAGAAACCAAGCCACAGATACCACACGAACATCATAAACCAAGACATCATCTATTTTTAATGAGGTAGCATTACCATCCCTTCCCGCTCCCTTTCCACACACATCCCCCACCCGCCCCCCTTTTTAAACAAGGAAAATGAGAAAATTATGAGCTCCATTTCAGCAAACGATGTGTGTATACACCAGTTCTGACACTGCCTGGTGTCTGGCAGCAGCCTTACCGGGAGCAGCCCTCTTGCCCTCAAGATCCTTCACTTCTCTCTGCTCCTCAACATTTGTTATCTCTAAAGTACGCCTCATCCACTGACCCTGAAGGAGTCTGCAGGGCATCATCAAACAGAACACATCTCCTTTGGTAAGTCAACACATCTCCTTTTGTAAGTCAGCGACCTGAGAGAAGGGAATGACCAAAGGACAAAGCCATGGAGCAAGCAGAGACTTGCAGGGGTGCTGTGGAGTAAAGCTCAAGCTTTTTGACTCCCAGTTCAGCCACGCCAACAATGCACAAACCCTAGTATTATAACTGCACTTTAATTTTCACTGCCTTAAGAAAAATGTCACCTGCTTAGTGTGCTGCACCCCATTGCACGAAACACTGCAAATAAATATGTGTTAGAGAGCACTTTATTTTCTTGTTTTCTAAAAACGACTTCCTTTGCACAGAATAGACTTTAAGAAATGCAGCAGCAGTTTTGTGTCATAACTGCAACTAATGTTTTTGACGGTGTTAACATTTGACTGCTGCTGCCCTTTCTGGTGTGCTGCTCTGCAGATGCTGGGATGCCTCCCGTGCCCGAGGCTTGTGTGCTCCAGAGCTGACTGTACTCAAGAGCATCACGAGGCTCTTTGTCCACCACACAGATTTTTGGTTTGGATTTATACATAGATCACCTGACATGATAGGTTAATCCTTAAACGTAGTGTATTTCTTTTTTCCAAATTAAACCTCACTCATTTTTAATATTTGCATAAACAAGCCTTTCCCTCTCCCTCCCCAAACCTGCATCGTGAGCGAGCTCTTCTGAAGACACAGTCATATTCGCTAGGGAACTGAAAAAAAGCTGTGTTTCTTAACCTTTTTGCAGATAACTCTTTTTCCTTATCCAGCCAGTTAAGGCAATAAAGTCTGTCTTATCTCCAGCAGCAGCTGCCGTCAGGCCAGACCAAATGAGCTGGCTTTAGTTTGTGGGTTTGTCATAAATCTAGCGCTCATCAAAGGTGAGCGGCAGGAAGCAGTGGAAGCCCTTATTGATCTACCTGGCAGCTATCATGCAGATAGTTCACAATAAAATATTTCCTGCATTTAAGGGCCGAGCCTGCTCCCACTCAATTTAATAGGAGCTGGATCAGGCTCGGCACATCATAGCGCTAACCTTCCATCAGCTTGTCCCCGTTCCCGTCGCCAGACATCCTTCCAGAAAACACCTCAAGCTCAGCTGAAATGGGGCTGAGGCAGATTGCTGCATGTAGTCGACAAGATTGGATTCTGCTTTCAAGAGGCGGCTTTCAAGCACGCAAGTGTGATCTTGACATTGTGATCCCTTCCTGGAACAGGAGCTCCATCAAATTCTCCCTCCGTGTACAGTTAAGGGAATTACATTTTTTTCCTGCAGTCTACGGTCAGCCAAGGTCCCCTCCCCCACTCAAATATTGTTTTCAAGGACCCTCTAATTGGATCACTGTTCCTCATTACAGAAATTGTTGAGAAGCGCTAGTGACTTTTGAGACATCTAGCAGTATGAGTCCAGATGAGGCTTTCCATACTTCCAGAACTCTGGATCCTTTATTTAAAAGTACATGTAAGCTTTTTTATTTTTATTTATTTTCATTCCAGTTGCAAAAAAGATAGAACACCCCTAATGATTTATTTGATGTATTGCTACACACTGACAGCAGAGAGCTGGACTTTTTTTTTTATTTTTTTTTGTAATTCTTTCTCGTCTATGGTATTGTAAACAACGAAGTCAGCCTGCTTTGAAAGTGCAATTCAGTTCACTTTTAAAAATGCACAGCCTATCTTGATTAAATCATTACAAACCACTTCTAGCTAAAGACTGCTGTCGCCTGCCTACAAAACAAGAAGCCCTATTTAAAGCAAAAAAACTCATACCTGACATCAAAATGAAGTTATTTAATCTTTAGATTATGAGATTACTTACTAGGCTGGATCACAGGTCCAAAAGAAAAAAGTTACAGGCTTTTAGCATTTTTCCCCTCGAAAACAAAAATTTCCTTTATTGAAAAGGTAAAGCGATTGGGAGAGACTGAATTTCATAAAGATTTACTCAGATGGAAAGTCTGAGGTCACAAGTGAAATAAGATTAATAAAGCTGGCAGAGTTACCAGTGGACTGCTAATGTTCAAATAAGATTTCTCTTCCGCAGCCAAACCTCAATGCTTGATTTACAATCCAGGGATCTTAACTTGATTCTAATATTTTTGGCGTCAGTGGAACAGAGGGAAAAGAGCGATTTGGAAGCTTCTGGTGCCTGTGAGCTGAATTCTTATGTGAAGAAATGGGGATTTTTGTTGGGCTTTTTTTTTTTTTTAATTTTCTGTATTTTTTTACTCTTTTCTTTTAAACAGTTATTTTTGATGCTTCACTGGTAATTCCACAGAGACAAGAATGTTCTACTGTAAAACTCAGCCGCAAAACTTCCAGTTGGGTTTGTTGAGAACTGTTCTCCATTTAATACAAAGCAGGGCTCTTCTCTCCCTATCCACCCCAATCAAACCAAGCTGGGCAGCAGAAACAGAAAAAACATTAAAAAAAAAAAAAAGCAATGCTTTAAAAATCTACAGATCTTCCAAGTAGATATATAAGCAGACACCATGAAATCCCCTCAAGTGATCAGACAAGAAACAAAAACAGTAAGTGAACTGATTACCAAAATTTCATCTGTGATGAAGCACCACCATATTTTCCATGTTTTCATTTGTTTAGTCTCAATTTGCAAGAACCTCAGATCAGAAACACCATTCAGAGAACTTAATTAATAAAAAGAGTGACTAACAAACTCTATATCCTTACGAGGCATTCTTAGACAACGTTGTTATTCAGTGTCATGGAACTGGAATATTTTCCATTCTTTTTCTTTCAGAAGATACTACAGTTTTTTGGCATAAATCTGGCATAGTCTGCATCATGTGTCAGAAAAAACATTCCATTTTATGGTATTCTGCCATTTTATGGTGCATTTTGTGGCTGGATGTATTACATTCAACATTAGTTATTTAAAATGGAGTCTGCTCAAGGAAATATTAGTCACGTTTCTTTCAAAAGGCGATTTACTTCCTGCTGTGTTTCCTGGTGATCAGCAAAGCAAACATGAAATTAAGATAAACCTAGACTTACACACTAGTGTGCCAGTTAATTAGGTGGCAGGGAACACTGCACGTATCTTAGTGTACCTCGATAAACCCTGATGATGCATTTTCCATCTCCTCCAGTATGCGCTGCTCTGGGACATCACCAGCACTAGCTGTTTCACTGTATTGTGTGTTATTTTCAGAACTGTTGTTTACCCCTACATCAACTATATCTTACAACTTTATCTTCTTATCGTAATGTGCCATTTTCTCCAATAGGATATTCTACTACATGGGATTAGCGCTCACAACAGTATGTGCAGGACAAAGCATCCAAAAGTTTTGCAAATTCCTCAGCCATTATCATACAGACACATTTAAGCCAAACAAGAGATTAAAACTAAAGGAGGTGGTGGTAGAAGGAAAGAGGGAAGCAGGAGCCAAATCCATCCCTGGATTGGCCTCTCCTCTTATGAAAGGCCAGGACCCTTTCCATAAATCCACACACCTCTTTTACCGCAGCATCGTGCAATGTGTCAGATGGCCAAAGCAATCCTATGCTGGGTGATGCCGGGAGCCACACACTGTAAGAGAATTAAGATGCATCTGACTTGTAATTGAAGCACTGAGCTGACATTTAGGAGTTGTAGGTTCATTTCGTCTTCAGGCTTGGGTTCACCAAGTGACCTTCAGCAGTTAAGTTAGTAGCATTTAGTCCTCTCCTGAACAATGAAATAAGAACAGGTCCTCTTTGAACCCACACTTGTCTGGGCTCATGAACCTTTGTTTGAATGGTGCCAAACACAAAGAGCATCCACAGCTCGCTGCCACTGATGGCCACACAGTCTCTCCTAGTAGTAGAGCCTGCCTTGGTAGCAGCAGCGCACCATCTTTGATCTGAGCTGTGAACTTTTGGGGTGCTGCCTGGCCACATGTAGGGACATGGTATGCAGTAACACTGTGCTGACCTCACACGACATCTTCAAAATGCAACTTTGATGACTGAGAGAAATACAGCCATCTGCAATACACTCACTCATCATTCAGTTAAAACACATTTTCCAAGGGAATAAGTAACAAAATCTCTGCCATTTACTGCTGCAATTTAGACTATCATGGCTGAAATTAATAGTCGCCTCAGAAAAAGAAAGGAAAATTGTCTCTGGCAGTTGGTGCCTGCACAACTGCTAATGTACCAGAGCAGTTCCCAGTCAATACTGGGTTTTGTTTTCCCTCAAGATACACTGATATGGGAAGCCAGGGCTTTCCTGGAGTAGGAGCTACATGAGCTCTCCTGCCACTGTGCTAAAAAGACAAGACAGACACAAAAATTCAAAGAAAAGGAGGCTTATGAACTCCTGCCAGTGGAAGGGAAGCAATATGGTGCACTGAACCTCTACAGAAGCCAAAGGACCAAGGGAATACTGGTGCAAGGCTTTCACGCCTTACATCTTAAGAAGGTCTCTCTGACTGAAGGATTGATTGCCTTCTGCAATACTCTCACGAGACCTCTGACACAGAAGTCTGCCTCTGCCACACGGCCTGCCTGAAATCCGCAGCTGAATGCTGTCCTCCCAATCCAAAAAAAGGGGGTGCAGGTGGAGACGGAGGGATGTCCATGACCAGAGCTGCTCAAAAGTCAGAATGACTGGGTAGTCAACTTGCTCTTTTGAAGTTGCCAGCTGAAGCACAGTTTTGTCTAAGACGAGGTTGGAGGACTTCACACAGAGCTGCTCACCTGACCTGAACAACTCATCATCTTGCGGATGTCTTTGCACGTGGAAATTAAGGTCCAGAAAGCAGGGCATGAATACAGAAGATGCCAGTTAACCTAAACCAAGGTCCTGTGTGGTCGAAGCAGTCAACAGGTGCTAAAGGCAGAGGAAAGCTCGTTCGCCCTGACTGTGCTAACAGTATCTACTGCCCAGGGAGCAGTCTGCGCGCTGTAAATCCACACCCTCCCTTTGCCTCTGCAGTAACTTCCCCACGCAGACAAGCCCTGCGGTGAGCAGTATCTCTGCATTTACCCAGTAAAATATTAATACTAAAATGATTAAGTGATTTTCTTCCTATTGTGCAGGAAGAGCCGTGCAATATGTTTGAAACAAAGAAGCTCGGCTTTAACTGCAAATAAGAAAATAAACCCAAAGTAAATAACTTTCAGATAAGAAAAGCAGAAGAGAGATGTTGATGGTGCAACAGACTGATAGCAGAACCTGGGGAGAGCCAAGGTGAATAAGGAGAATTATTTGGGATCTAATCAGCAAGACAAATGCAATCTTTGGAGTGTAATGTTTATGCCAAGCTTTTAAAAAAAAAAATAAATGGGGCCCCACATTTCTTAACACTCGAGTAAGAATGTTACTTACAGAATGTTATGTTTGAAATTATCTCTAATTTTGTTTCACGCTCTTGCTGTCTTGCATGTATTTTCTTTGAACATGATACCCATAACCCTGGCATATTTGTTACTTATAGAAATAAAATAAACAAAGGTAAAGGAATTTTCCAAAGGAAACAGCAGAAACAGCTTTTCAGATCAGCTGCTGTTTTCAAATATAAGCCAGAAAGGACATCAAAAGAGAAAAAAATCCCTTGTAGGCAATGCTTTATCTCATATTTCCTACAGAAGCAGCAGACTCCCCCGATATTAAAGATATCCTTTATTTTAAAGGCAAACAAATTATTTTAAACGTAACTCAACTGTAAATATTTATTAGGCCTCTCTTCCATTTGGTTCTCTGAATATGAATACTCTCAAAGTAGTATTTCCTCTGAAATTTTCAGTTTCAAGACAGTGAACCTGACTAAAAATCAAATGTGACAACTGCCAAAACATTTATGACTTTTCTTTAAACCCTTCCACCCCTGCCTTCAACCACCAGTGTTTTGCCTAGTTTCAAACCACAGTGCTTGGGCCAGGCTGAAGATAAGATACCTTAAGAACAGGGAGTGCCACTAGCCTTGGCCTGTCCACCTCGCGTCAGGCAAAGCTGACAGTGATGAGCCTGCTTTGGCTTAAACTTGAATTTCTAAGAAGAAAACGTCAGAGACCAGAAGAAGCACAAAAGGAATCTCTCGGCCACGTTAAGGAATGATGTTTTGACCAACAGCCAACCAACTTCAAACCAACCGCTCTCACCATTGATGAAAAACTTAAGAAATAACAGGATTGTTTGCACGAAAAAAATAACACCATGCATTGTGACTTATGTTTCTTAGGCAGCTTATCAGCCAATACAAATTGGTGTATAAAGCACCCACATCTCCTCAGCTAGTCACCCTGTCCCAGCTTTATGGGCACTTCTACACTAAATAACACTAGTCTTTCTTCATCTGTCCTATCCTGCAGCTACTAATGCTCGCTGAAATCACCTTTAAGTTGGATATCTTTTTTCCTTGATTGAGACCCTATTGGCATACTATTGCAGCAAATGAATAAAACCCTGCAATATTGTTCACATGCACAAAAAGAGCAGTCTGTGGTATTTTATACTGTCACACCTTCAACACTGGGATGGATTGAAATACCTCTGTGGCTTGTTAGCTCTATGTCTAAGCTCTCATAATCCAACACCAGTGAGCTGCTGAAGGCCTGCAGCTGAACAAGGTACACAAGCACAGCCATGCTAATCGATGGCCTTCACAGAAGGGGTAAGACTCCTTTCATTGGGATTGGCACCACCGAGCTTTTCTCCCCATTTGCTGATGTCTAAAAGACATATGCGGTCAGTCAGTGGTGTTCAGCAGACACGTGATTCTTCACTGAGCCATAGTAAATCAGCAGCATGTGTCTGAACCTTAGATATTTCCAGGGAATGCTTGTCATCAGCAGCACCTAATTTGGTCCTCAGGTCTCTTACCAGATACTGAAGTCGCTGGCGTTCAGTCTCTGGAGTGAATTCTGAAGACATTGGAATGACTTCGCCGTTTCGGATTATTATAGCCCTGTAATAGTAATAAAATATCATCAGTACGGGGGAAAAAAAAAGTAAAAAATACCCAGAAAACCACAGGGTACAGTCACACTCTTACTCTCTTCAGTTACAGTAAAATAAAGCCATTTCTCTTCTACTGAAGTTGTCAGCAGAACAGGATAATAATTCCTGCCCTGCATCCTTTAGGCTGGATAAGAAAGTGTATTTGTATATGCCAAGTTCACTTCAGAGCTCACAAAAACATCCAAGGAACAAAGGCAAGAGTTATTTCAGTTGATGTCTACTGGGTATCCTTATTTAGTGAAATGCAGACACCCAGAGGAGATGCTGCAGAATCACTGATTGTAGAACAACTCTTTGCAGGTTTTAATCCCAGTTGTGGCTGACACTGTCTAAACTACTGGCTTCAAATGACTCATGCAAGCACTTTCCAATTATTGATTGGTCATATGTCATGTCAGAACATTTCTACTCCAACAGCAAATGGAAATGGCAAAGCAAATCCTGTTTAACACAAATTTAACTAGTTATCTGCCGAAAGATGACAGGTAATGGAATGACTATAGATCAGCCAGCAGATTTCACGTAGGCTTCTGCAACGGCAGGGAGGAAATTCTCTCAAACACCTGCTTGTTGCCCCTTAACAATCTGCTATGCTGCATATAAAATACGGTCCGATGCTTCCCTGGTATAATGCCACTGGTTGAAACACAGTCACAAGAGGGAAGAATTTACCTGTTACTCCTACTGCATTCTGTGGTCATGTACTCACTCACAGAATTGTGTTCTTTTATCTTTCCATTATTTATACAGCTTTGTAAATATAGCAACACTTGGCACTTTCGAAGAGCTGGATGACCTATGTATCGTCCCAAAGAGTTTAATGCCTGTTTTGAAGCTGTTTCTCAACCATCAATAGATTAATTCAGTGTTTGGATAGTAGCACTGTACCAGCTCTCCTCTTGAATTTGCACAGAATTTTGCGTTGATAAAACAAGCAACTGTCACTTGGCTTCCAGTTTGTATATGTTTTAAATGGTCTCCTTTCTGTGATCTTTTCATCCTGTTGTGTTATTTACGTGCTAGCTTACTTCTCTTGGTAATTTGATCAACTTGTTGGCATTGCTTCTATGCCAGGTATTCTGAGGGCACCGCAATGCAACCAACAATTACAGTAGGCACACAAAGACTGAAAACTTAACCTCTAAATTCAAAACATGGGCATCTTGAGAAAACCAGCCTGGGTACAAACCAGCTTTGTAAAATTAGTGGCACTGGATAACTTTCCAAGCCTTCTGGATACGATCTTGGACTAAAATTGTCCCCAAACGATCATCTACTATTGCTAGCATGCAAAAGGAAGGAGCATTACCAAAGAGGAAAGGAACTGTTCACATTTCTGAGATTCACATGGCAAAAACAAGACAGGTACAGGATGGTGCTACAATGGGAGAGGTGGGAAAAGGCTGCAGTGATGAGGGGGAAACAGCTCTGCTTTGACAGATAACAAATTTACTGCTCCTGCACTTCCAGCACTCCCTTCCAAATAATCCTATGTAAAAGTTAGACGTGGCAAGAGTGCAGCCTACATGCTGAAGGCTCCCACTGGCCCTTCACTGCTACAATTAAAAACAATGTTGTGTGCTTGAAATGAGACAGACGTGGTGGTTGTAACTCATTAATTTCTTAAGAGAAATTTGTGTAGAATTTTTGATGGAATATTTTCCCCTTTATGGGATCTGAATACATTACAGGCTTACAAAAATGCTGGCCCAATTAAAAATGATAAAGGTTTGCTGAAAATTTTTCTTATGGAGTTCTGAGACAGTCATTTAACAAAGAATTAAGGACTCTACCACCTCTTTTCTGCAACAACACCTTTGCTTTTATTTCTGCAATTCCTAAGGTATTCAGCTTTCAACCAGACTCATTTACTCAAAGACAGTGGACAGCTTTTATAACCTTTTCATATGTAATTTGACTCACTTGAGCAGGCCTCCATATAAGGGGACTGCGGTTTCATACAGAGTAAGTAGTACTCTGGCAACAGTCTAGACCAGACTGATCAAAGGAGCTGATCAGACACTAATCAAATTTTACACACTAGTTTGAGAGAGTCATAAGGGATCTACTGATCCTGTGCTTGTCTGAAAGAGCTAGTATAAAAAACACACATCGATATAACTGCTAGCAAGTTAGGCTGATTTTTTAATTATCCCTTTCTTCCCCTTTAATCACCATTTCACAGGAAATCCATATTTTAAAGACCACTCAGACCAGTCTGGGGTTCATCTTTTCTTTTGTGCACACTGACATACTTCCTATATACGTTGATAGCTATCATTCTCACTTCTATGGGTAGAATTGGGCCCTGAGGGACTCACATCATATAAAAAGCAATTCAGAAGTGAGTGGGTCAACCTTTCATGGCTCAACTTATTTTGACTAGAAATTGCAGCCACCTGGCCCCCCCCCCCCCCCCCCCCCCCCTTTGGGGGGGGGAATTAAAGTAATGCTGTTGATACCTGATAAAACAGAGCCTCAGTTTTATGTTTTTCATTAATGTTTTCAGCAGTTGGACTTTATTCAACTTGAAAGTTACAGCTGCTCATAAGAGTCAAATGATTTGATCCGAGGAATTAGATGGCTCTGGATATGAGTAACGGGAGGAACGCAGACGTACATATACAGGTCACTGGTCTGAATTCAACTCTGGTGGGCTCATTATCCTCTTACCGGTCTCTTTACCTTTCCGCACCAGCTGCTTAGTTGTTTCATGACAGCAAAGGGCATTTCTGACTGCCCAAGTGACAAAAAAGGACACATTCGTTAGCCGTCTCACTGGAGAGGCTGGGTGCGAAAGCCTGGCCCAGGAGCTACCCTGCTCAGCAGGATTTTTCCCCTGTGATTGAAGAGGTGCCGAATCAGGCCCTAATTGGGTTTGGAGACTGAAGTGCCCTTTCCGTGACCTCGCAGTGACAGAGCTGCCAAGCACCGACGGAAGGCTTTTCCCACCAAGCAACCTCCAGAGCCCTGAATTCAATAGCCCTAAGTCAATAACTGCTCACGGGGAGGGAGCCTGGCGGACGCGGCAGCCGCAACCAGCCCAGCAACTGCTTTTACAGACCCACTCTATACGGTCCTGCAGGACAATTAATTTTGACTTTACGCTTCCTAATGGACTAAGCAGCAACATGGCGCTACGTGAGCATTACTGCATCTGCCAGGCATGAAAGATGCATGTTCTCAATGAAATAGTGCTCTGAAAGCATTTAGCTCTCTGTGCATTGTGGAAATATGAATGTATTATTTTATACCAGAACACAGCTGTCTTATTAAACTGTCAGGAATAGCTACACAGAAAAGCAGGAAGAACACGAAGAGATGCTGTGCCCAGACAGCATCTGATTCTGCCATGTTTAATAGTGACATTTTAATTTCAGCCACACTGGTGAAACACATTATAGCAGAGCCACAGGGCGAGCCTGCCAAAGGCAGAGGGATGATTCACGTTTGCAGGGAACAAGTAGGTCAACACTAACCAAATATTCTCTAATGACAAGGTTGCTTCAGACCCACACCAATCATTAATTTATATCACCAATGAAGTAGTAATTAAAAAACAAAGGGTTTTGGGGCAGGATGGGAAATCGGGAGTCACAGATCAGCAGCCCCCTCGGTGCATTGCTCTCCACACTCTACAGCTCCGATTTCCTCTCCATGCAGCATCATCCACAGTGAGCAAACAAACAGGAGAAGCTGTTCCTAAGTCTTGAGGCCACGGAGGCCATTAAGTCACTTATTTGGATCCCTTCCAAAACCAAACTAGAGATTTCCCTGAGTCCTCTCCCTTCTTTTGAACCTAGGTACCTAACTCCCCACCCACACGAACTGCTGGTAAATATTCACAGAAAACATGAATATATTGGGAAAAAAGTTCCCAAAACACAGCTGAAGTAGCCTAAAGTGGAAGAAACAAAAATTGGATTTTGTATATCTCTTCTGGCCACTTAATTGTGTATTGTCTGATCCACAGAAGCCATGCCCTGAACAACTAAACGTGGAGCAAGAGATGTGCCAGCGCCTCGGTGCGTAAGGCGGGACTGGCAGTCACAGCAAATTCTGCAGCGGGCTATGTCCACTCAGTCACACACAAATGAAAAGAAACACCAGGAGCTTAAAAGGCTGCATGTAAATCCACAGAAAATACTATATTTATCTTTTGGATTGACATAACTGTGTGGTCCACGGTGATCAACTAAATTCACAAAAAACCTTAAGTATATGGTTATTTTCTATATTCGAATTCAGTACTTTAAAACTGTATTTGGTGCTTTAGTATATATCCCCTTTCAAAAAATGTGGTGAATGAAGCAACAAAAGGGTAACATCTGCCACTGTGTTGTACTGCTGCTCTCACACTTAGGATGTAGCAACAACATTGGCTTAAGGAAAATATCAATATATCAATTGCTTTTGCATTTTTAATGTGGATAAAACAGCCACCTCTCCTTGAATCAAGCAGGGTTTGTTTTGTTTTTTTTTTTTTTCTTTTGTGGAGAACACAATCAGCTGAGAATTGCACAGCATCCTTTCTGAGTTTCTTATGAGAAACAAACAGAGGGAAACTCATACATTTTAGAGGAAGCTATTGTTGGTTACTCTCATTTAATCATACAGAGAAAGAAACACTTTAGTGAACAAGGTCAAAAGTGTAATTTCACTGCTGTCATGGGTCTATTGGGATTCTGGTGTTCAAAACAAAGAGGCATCTCCTACTGTTAGGAGTATTCAGGGGACACCCTGATTCCATTACACACTTTTTCAGCCAAAAATGATTTGAAACACAACATTAAACTGCACATTTCTACAACAGAGGATAAAAATCTGGTAAAGGTGACAAAGAGAGACTGTTCGGAAAACGCTTTTTGACAGCATATATCAATTCCAAGCCACAGGGAGGATGTATCCATTTTGTCAAAAGGTGTTAAGCATTGTGGATTCGGTACA